AAAACCATGCTCCTGCAGGAAGGCAACATGTAAGGACATTTGTATTTGTATTCACTTATTGTATCACACAGCTTTGTTACAATGCTGCCGCCCATCCCATGTGTTCCCTATTAAGGGTTAATAAGTATATAGGGGTGTATATAAAAAAATACCCCTCTCTGTCTCATTGGAAATATATTTGCCAGAAGCCCAAGGAAGCAAGGTGAAGTGTCAGTGGCCCTAGACTATTTTTGTCTCAAAATGTGTAATTTGCCTCTCTTCCCCAGACTACAACAAAAACTGATTTAATTACTTTCAACCGATTCCCTGAAATAGGCATGCCACAATAAAGCCTGCTAAAATAGGATTGTTGGAGGTTTGCTTAGATTCATATAGTCAGAGGATTATAGCCCAAAAGGATTTAGACTTTATACCTGACCACAACCACATTTGAGATTAGCGTCTAATAATGTGTATATACAGCTAATCCTTTCTTCAGTTAACACCTACATACAGAGGTTTTACTCTGAAGGTAGGAGTTATCATTTAAGTTCCACAGACGAATAGGGGTTAAGCCCCTACTGGAGTGTCTCTGTGGTGATTTAGTCTCAGAGCAAGGGATTCTGCACAAGCAGACCTCCCTACTCTGATTACTCCCCTCCTTTAACATATGTTGACTAGCACCTTAATCAAAAACTGATACCTATCAAGGATTTAAAAACAGTTGGGATTGTGATCATTGTACTGAGTAAGTGATGAGAACCGCACCCAATCCCAGCGGCCAAGGGTGCTCCAGAGCAGGACCAGCAATCCCAGTACAATAATCCAAGAGGAAAAAACTCACAGGCACTCCAACTTCAAGCCGCAGGCAGATTTATTATGACAGAATGCAACGTTTCGACCGGAAAGGTCTTTTTCAAGCTGACACCACATGGTGCAAAATGTGCTTATATAACAAACACTAACAACTAAGAAATCAATCAATCAATTACTGCTAATTAGTAGAAATTCTTAATTGATAAAAAGGTAATTTAAAAAGGCATTGTAAAAGAAACAAATATCAAATGTGCAATATTACAATATATACATAAATCAGATAAATAGTGCACACTATATCATTAACTTCATACACACAAGACATGAATCATTCTATGATCATATTAATGCTAGGAATTCTAAAATGTATATATATATATAGGATAACCTATTATGTCATGAGTATTCCCTGGTTACAAATACTGTGCCCATAGAGGAGAGAAGAAATACATAAGAAAACAGCAAATAAAAAAAGTAAATACATGCAGCGTATCCTCCATGGTAGCCAAACGCGACCCACTTCCGGGTCTGTGAACCGCACGTGACGTCATTGGAACGCACGTGCGAAATCTTCCTCCGAACGGATTGGCTGGAGGACCAAACATAACATCGTTCTGTGTTCAATTCACCATTGCAGAGCCCACATAGTGGAGTATGTTCACTCTGCCACATCACTATCCCAAAGTAAATCTTCACAGAACATCCTAATCATTCAGGCATGTTATATGGCACAGATCAGGAAAATAAATCTATTAGATGTAATATACAATATAAGTAAATAAACAAGAGTAATAGTTATTCATATAGGAATACCAGAGATGGATACTTAGAATAATCATTATACCAAATAAGAGCCAATTCCATATTAAAGGTACAGACCTCAAAAGTCAAACACCTATACCTGGCAAAGATTAAATAAAAAAGGAGACAGCAAAGAAAATACAGGGACAGTGAATTCCCATATGGAACATGAGAGTCTGTATATATAAGGACAGAGACTATATAGTCTCATTATATTCTCTCATATATAGGCACAGTCGACATCATTCCAGATTAAAGGTACAGACCTCAAAAGTCAAACACCTATACCTGGCAAAGATTAAATAAAAAAGGAGACAGCGAAAAAATACAGGGACAGTGAATTCCCATATGGAACATGAGAGTCTGTATATATAAGGACAAAGACTATATAGTCTAATTATATTCTCTCATATATAGGCACAGTCGACATCATTCCAGATTAAAGGTACAGACCTCAAAAGTCAAACACCTATACCTAGCAGGGATTAAATAAAAAAGGAGACAACAAAGGAAATAAAGGGACCATGAATTCCCATATGGAACATAAGAGTCTATATATATATATAGGACAGAGACTATATAGGCATAAGGAATCTATCGATAATCTATGTGAGAAAAACAAGGAGAGTATCTAATATCCACATATGGAACTCTCAAGTAGTCAGTGCTTCAATTAAGTAACTATGTTAAAGAAGTAAAAAGTAATAAAGTGCAAGTGCCACAAATCATAAACAAAATGAGTAATAAATCCAAGCAGTCTAAGTAATCTTATGATCACAGTGTAAAAATGGTGAAAAGTTAATTAACTAGTTTTTGAATAAGTGATCCCAGTCAAATAATGTGATCACAGTGTATAACACCACAGGACGGAAATACCATCCTTACTGCTAAAAGTGCATTTATGTCCTAACAGTGCATTCATGTACTTATAATAATATAATTGTGCATTAAATAGAGAGTAAATGTGTCCACATCCTAGTAGTCCCTGAGAAATCCTAGAAGTCCCTGAAAGATTCAGCTTATCATATCGTGTAGTAGACAAAAATAGGGTGTCTAGGAAACCAGCACCAAACATCTAAAAAATCCTGAAAAATATAAGAAAAGGAGAGTTAAAAAACAAAGATAAAATAAAGCAATCATTCCTTAAATAAGCATAGACAAATCATATTCATAATTCAAACCCTTTGGGTATAATGTATCGAGTTCCCGTATCCAATATGCCTCACGTAACAGAAGCCTCCGATTTCTATCTCCCCTCCTAGGAGATTCCATAATTTGTTCTAGAATCTGGAATCTGAGCTGAGAGACCCCATGTCTAGCCTCTATAAAGTGTGCCGGTAAGGGCAAATCAGTCAATCTAGTCCGAATCGTGGACTTATGTTTAGAGAATCTCATCTTGAATTTCTGACTAGTTTGCCCCACATATAGAAGGCCACATGGGCATTTCAATGCATAGATGACAAAGTCAGAATCACAAGTCAAGTATTGTTTAATAGAGTACTTTCTACCACTCCGGGGGTGATGAATCACATCACCCCGGATCATCGAATGACAAGAGACACAATTGTAACAAGGAAAATTACCTTGTTTCACATCAGATAAAGTGTCAGTAGACTCAGGAACCAAAGTTTTCACTAATTTATCTTTCAACGAGGTGCCTCTTTTGTAGGCAAACATAGGTCTTTGGGAAAATTCCACAATGTTGGGATGACATTGGGCAAGAATATGCCAATGCCTATATACAATTTTTCGTAAGTCATCTGAATATCTCCCAAATTTGGATACAAATTTTAACCTCTTGTCATTCCGTTGTGATTTATGGGAGTGGAGTAAATCCTCTCTATCCTGATCCTTCACTTGGTTGAGCTGAGTATTAAGCAATGGTAAAGGGTAACCCCGTTCCATAAATCTGGTGGTCATCTCATCCAGACGCCTCTCAACAGTATCACCGTCAGATACAAGTCTCCGGACACGGGTGTATTGACTCTTAGGGAGGGCTTTGAATATAGCTGGAGGATGAGCACTAGAGAAATGGAGGAGTGTGTTCCTATCCATAGTCTTCCTATATAGGTCGGTGACAAGCCTATCCTCATGTTTTCTAATCAAAATATCCAAAAATGGTATCTCAACCAGATCATAAGTCATTGTAAATTTAATACTGTCCGAGCATGTATTCAAGAAAGTAAAAAAATCCTCAAGGGACTCCAATGTGCCACACCACAATAGCAACACGTCATCAATATAACGCCACCACCTAGTGGCGAATTGTTGGAATAAGAAATGAGGATAAATCAATGTATCTTCCATATCTGACATAAATATTCCAGCATATGTGGGTGCCACATTGGAGCCCATCGAGGTACCCTTCAACTGTAAAAAGAATTGTTTTTGAAACAAGAAATAGTTATCTTTCATGACAATCTCCAAGAGCACCATCAGAAAGTTCAAGACATCATCCTTAAAACCAAGTGACATGAATGCAGATTTGGCAGCCGCCAGCCCAGCATCATGTTCAATAGATGTATATAAACTTGTCACATCCAAAGTGACAAGAACCAAATTATCATTAGATGATATTTCTTTAAGTTTTAGTAACACCTCAGTGGTATCCCTTACATACGACTTAATATTGCTCAAAAAAGGCCTTAAAATGTTGTCAAGGAATCTAGCTAAAGGTGACAACAGGGAACCTATCCCCGCTACTATAGGTCTACCGGGAGGTCTAGTTAAAGATTTGTGAATCTTTGGGAGAGTGTATAGGGCCGGTACAACCGGTGTTGTTTCAAACAAAAACTTTAACAACTCCTTATCAATAATATGGTTGTCCAAGGCCTGTTTTAAACAAGTTTCTATTTTCGACTGTAAATTCAGAGTGGGGTCACCAGATAGACGTTTGTATGTCGTAGTGTCTCCCAATTGTCTAAGAATTTCGTCTACATAATCAACTGTATTTTGCACCACTATAGCACCCCCCTTATCTGCAGACTTGATTGTGATTGCCTTATTCCCACTGAGAGTATTTAAAGCCAATCTTTCTTTCTTAGAGAGGTTCTGCATACCTTGGAGATGTTTACGTATCGGTTTGGATGAAGTTATAGTATTCAAATCCTTTTGTACCAACTTAGCAAAAACCTCAATAGCATGATCAATAGAAGGAGGGTTAAACCTACTCTTATTCTTAAGTTTGGTATCACTGAGTTTAATGTCCGCATCCCTCTGAGTAGTAGACAATGAGGTGGGCACAGGCATCTTATCAAAGAAAGTTTTCAACCTAAGAGTACGGAAAAAACGAGTCAGTTCCAAGTCCAGCTCAACATGTGTTGGTATGTATAAAGGGCAAAATGTTAAGCCCTTGGAGAGGACGGACAGTTCATCATTAGTTAATGTTGTAGCGGAGATGTTAATTACTGTAGTTTCTTTCTCTTCTGACCCATTTTTTTGTGGTCCCAGATGGCTGGCAGCGTGCGATTTCTTGTGACTGCCCCCACCTCGTCGCATCCTTCTTCGCTTGAAGTTATTCGTGAGGAGGTAGGGGTTCTTTCTAAAAAAGAAAGAGAGCTATCTTGGGAATTTTCCATCTCGGTATTAGATGAGTCACCACCCACACGGTGTTTCATTTTACGTGCCTTTTTCCTTGTTGTGACCTCTTTCTTCTTAAAGGGATAGTTTTTCACTCTGTCACGATTATGCCACCGGTATACATTTCCCATCTCGTAATCCGTTCGATCTCTCTGGAATTTATTACGCTTCCGCTCCTCAATTTCTTTTTTGAGTTTATCCACATTCAGATTAATTTTGCCCTTAACCATAGTTAAATCCAATCCTTGAGAGGTATTAATCAGTTCTGCTTCCAACTTAATTTCTTCTTCCTTAGCCTTAGAAATCGCTTGTTGAAGAAATTCCAAGTTAAGGAGAATCCAATCCATTGAACATTTGTTCAAAATAGCTTCCAGATCATTGTACTGTGAATATTGGACTTTATACGTTGATCTATTATTTATGCCATATATATTTCTTTACTCCTCTTATCTTTATTAGTGATGTCCCGAACGGTTCAATGGCGAATAGTTCTCGGCGAACATAGCGTGTTCGCGTTCGCCACAGATGGCGAACATATGCGATGTTCGGTCCGCCCCCTATTAATTTACTAATACTAAATAAAAATTACTTAGTATTAGTAAATTGTGCCCCTACTCGCAATACCGCGAGTAGGGGCATGTCTATTAAACAGTGAGCAGCCTGTGGTTGCTCACTGTTAAAAAAAAAAAAGGGTCCCCCTAAATACTAATAGGGTGGGACCTATTGTCCTCCCCCCAGCCCACACCCCTGAGCCATGGGTGGGGGCCCTAAAATTAACAATAAGGGGGGGACCTATTTCCCACCCCTGGCCCCCAACCCTGAGTGGTGGGTGGGGGCCCTAAAATTAACAATAAGGGGGGGACCTATTGTCCCCCCCGGCCCCCACCCCTGAGCGGTGGGTGGGGGCCCTAAATACAAAGGAGGGGACCCAAGTCACCCCTCCCCCCCAAAAAAAATTGAGCTCCCTACCTACCCCCCTCACCCTAAAAATAATGAGGGGGGGACCTTTAACTAAAAACCTGTAAAAAAAAAAAAAATTGATTAAAATAACTTACCATTTGATGTTTTATTTCTTCTACAATCTTCTTTTTTCAGCCCCCAAAAAAGGCCAAATAAAAAGCCATAAGAACCAAGGCAATTAAAAAAAAACAAACAAAAAAAAACGAGCGCACAAAAAAATAATCCATCTTCACCCATGGAGGGCTCCACGCAGACTGAGCCAATCAGAGTGCTCTTTGTCATTTTACACAGCGTGGGAAAATTCAAAAGAACTTTCCCACGCTGTGTAAAATGACACAGAGCACTGTGATTGATGGATTTCAAGCCATTTTATACAGCGTGGGAAAGTTCAATTTTCCCACGCTGTGTAAAATGACACAGAGCACTATGATTGGCTTATAGCCAATCAGAGTGTTCTTAGCCTAATTGCAGGGCGTGGCAAGGCTTTATAAGCCTTCCCCCGCCCTGCAGAGCTCAGTCTGCGCGGAGCCCTCCATGGGTGAAGATTGATTATTTTTTTGTGCGCTCGTTTTTTTTTGTTTTTTTTAATTGCGTTGGTTCTTATGGCTTTTTATTAGTTCTTTTGAATTTTCCCATGCTGTGTAAAATGACAAAGAGCACTCTGATTGGCTTAAACCAGCCAATCAGAGTGTTCTTAGCCTAAATGCAGGGCGTGGCAAGGCTTTATAAGCCTTCCCCCGCCCTGCAGAGCTCAGTCTGCGCGGAGCCCTCTATGGGTGAAGATTGATTATTTTTTTGTGCGCTCGTTTTTTTTTTTAATTGCGTTGGTTCTTATGGCTTTTGATTAGTTCTTTTGAATTTTCCCATGCTGTGTAAAATGACAAAGAGCACTCTGATTGGCTTAAACCAGCCAATCAGAGTGTTCTTAGCCTAATTGCAGGGCGTGGCAAGGCTTTATAAGCCTTCCCCCGCCCTGCAGAGCTCAGTCTGCGCGGAGCCCTCCATGGGTGAAGATGGATTATTTTTTTGTGCGCTGGTTTTTTTTTTTTTGGTTTTTTTTATTGCGCCGGTTCTTATGGCTTTTTATGTGGTCTTTTTTTGGGGCTGAAAAAAGAAGATTGTAGAAGAAATAAAACATCAAATGGTAAGTTATTTTTATCTAATTTTTTTTACAGGTTTTTAGTTAAAGGTCCCTCCCTCATTATTTTTAGGGTGAGGGGGGAAGGTAGGGAGATCATTTTTTTTTGGGGGGGAGGGGTGACTAGGGTCCCCCCCTTTGTATTTAGGGCCCCCACCCACCGCTCAGGGGTGAGGGCCGGGGGGGACAATAGGTCCCCCCCTTATTGTTAATTTTAGGGCCCCCACCCACCACTCAGGGGTGGGGGCTGGGGGGGACAGTAGGTCCCCCCCTTATTGTTAATTTTAGGGCCCCCACCCACCGCTGAGGGGTGGAGGCCAGGGGGGACAATAGGTCCCCCCCTTATTGTTATTAGGGCCCCCACCCACCGCTCAGGGGTGGGGGCCGGAGAGGGGGAGGACTGTAGGTCCCCCCTCATTATCTTTATGGCCCCCACCTGCCGCCCAAGGGTGGGGGCTTGGGGGGAGGACAGTAGGTCCCTCCCCCTCATTATCATTATGGCCCCCACCCGCCGCCCAGGGGTGGGGGCCGGGAGGGGGGAGGAGGTCTCCTCCCCCCCCTTCAACCACTATTGTGGCCAGAAAGAGTCCCTGTGGGTTTTAAAATAAGCGGTTCTCCATGGTGGTTCGTCCGGTTCGCCCGGTTTGCGAACATTTGCGAAAGTTCGCGGCTTGCGAACCGAAAATTTTATGTTCGCGACATCACTAATCTTTATATCCATCCATTGGCCCAACTTGTTTTTTGTGTATTTTCCAAGGCATGTTAGACTAATCTCACCCGTAATGGCAGCCCAAAACCGAAATGCCATCAAGTTCTCTCTGTATGAGAAATACAGCAACCATGGACAATTGCTTCTACTTTCTTTGGGCCTCATCAGTGAGGTGTAGCTTTTACCCCTCTATCTCTATCTATATGCAGTATTTCTCGTCTAGAGAGAGGCAGCCTGCATTTTGGATCTGTATCTACCTCATGAGTGTTATCAGTCCTATATGCCCCTGTTTTTTGTTTTTTTTTAATGACACAGATGGGCTTGCACCTTTTTTTTTTTTTGCTTTCCCCAAGTTTAAAGGGTAATCCAGACGTGGACCCCTTGCTCATGCTACCTAGAGGAATATTGACTATACATCAATGACAAGTCAAAAAAATGCAATTGGCTGGGGTTGCTGTATATTTTGTGCAGAGAGACACAGCCTTATTGGGTGGGATTATTCTGTTTTTTGTTTTTTTTTTGTAATGGTACAAGATGAGCTAAACCCAGCTTAAGATCTGAACGGGTACCCACTGAGCTGTTATCCATTCTCAGTACTCTCTTGCATCTTGTTTTTTTCATATCACAATAAAACTATTTGAAGAGAAAAATTATTTTAGTGAGAAAATTGGCCAATCAAGGTACTGCAAATATATACATAATGTAAATATTATATATATATATATATATATATATATATATATATATATATATATATATATATATATATTTGAAGTATACTGATATTTTGAAGTACACTGGCACATTTTCATGCCATACGGTTCATGGATCAAGTGAGAAAAAGTAACCAATAGAGGGAAAAAGAGTAGGAGCAGTAATATATATATATCTACTGTTCAATTCTCACTTGATCTGTGAGTAAAATAAGGTTTTAGAGACTGTCCATTAATGATTAATCTTTTTTTTTTTTTTTTTTTGTACAGACAGAATGTGATAACCCATTCCCTAAGATTTCATCAAGGCTTATCCCTAATGCCATCATTTAATCCCTCTTGTCATTCTCTTTTTCCCTTATCTCCCTTCACATATTTGTGTCAATCTCCCCATTTCTCTAACACTTTGTGTTTGTATATGTGTGTCCCTTTCCTTTTTTCTTTCTCTCTGTCTTGTAATCCCTTCTACTCATTACCCTAATATTGTGCTGAAGTTTAATTAGCTTTCCCTAGTATAAAATAATACAAATACTAGTATCCTGTGATCTGAAAAGATCCAGACATGAAGATATAGACGGCCGACAATTTATCCCCTAAAGTCACATACTAACAATGCTTGCGCGAAGAGAGCAAATAAAATGAGGTATAGTTAAGGCATTTAAACCCTATTCCTTATGAAGATTACCAACACATTCTGGGGAATAATCTGTTTCCTATTTTCTATTTGTGTACATAGTTGTAATATAGTGTTTTTCATTTTCTTCTTTCTTTATTGTTTTCTGTTTTTTTATTACTTTCTTTATTTGTTTGATTTATTTTTGTAAATAGATTTGATTATTGTGTTTCTGTATATAATGTTTTACTCTTGAGAATAAAATCAAAAGATTATGTCCATTTATCATTCGACCTTTTCTGTCTTTTATAGTAAGAAAGATTTTGAGGATGAAACTATTCTGGACACTGTGAATGCAATGAATGTGGTTTGATTTTTTTTTTTAACATGTGGGTTTATGTTTACATCTAACAATGCATTCTTTGAATTCAGTTTCACATCCTGGCCCAATTGGTCACACCTCTTTACTAATAAACACCCACAGGTTTGCCCCTGTCCAATTACTAATAACACAATTTGATTCCTTGAAAAACATCTTGCTAAGAGATTAACATAGTACTGTTGTAGGAGAACTCCATGGTCCTGGTCCACCCTCTGGTTAGTGAGTCATTGACTTGGTCTGCCACTGTTAGTTATGAACATGTGCAAGACTCAAGTATAGACTTTCATATTAGGTGTTTATACAATCAGTGGGGAACGTATGGTTTAACAATAATAGGGATCACTGTTGGTATGGAGATAATCACATTTATGAACAAATGGCAGGGGGGCTTTTTAATACCCCATCCGGAGTGACAGCATAAAGCCCTTTTATTATTGGTTACCATTATGTGGTATGACTCTCCTCTTATATTTACTGTGAAAAAATATTTATTTTTATTCTATACCCAACAATACATTTGGAAAGATTATTATAACTTTTTCTGCTAATGGAATCATCTAACATTGGTCAACAGTTCAATCATGAATTATAGTCTCAAAATATTACCCTCCCTTACCCTTAAAATCTGAGAGTAGAAGTTGAATAAATTACTTTTAAATGCTCTTGAATTAGTGACAACCACTTACTTCAGTTTTTGGACATTTGCATTTTGAAATATTTTCTGTTGGCTGGTTTTGCTATGAAATTTAGTTGGATAGTACTTTATCACAATGCTTCGATGATATAGCCAGGATTAAAAAAAAAATTATTCATATAACAGTAGTATATAATATTGACAGGATCAATAACCACCTTTTTTTTTGCTTTA